TTTTCTGCCTCTTGGTGGCGCCAGTGGTCTTCCTCAAGGTTGTCTCTGCGACCTGGAAATTTTCTCAAAACAAGAAATGTTATCTCTAGGCACGTTTACATGTTTTGCTAAGTCTGTAACGGAACTGTCCTTGAAAGATATCTATTCGCTTAGGTGTTTGGGTGCCTAGCAGCAACTTTCTCAAAACAGTTTCAACTCCCTAAAAAGTTCGTAACGGAATTGTCCTTGAGAGATAGTTACTGGAATGCCTGGCAAAATGAGAACATGTTCAGACAAGTGAAAACTCTAAGTAAAAACTCTATTCTGTGAATGTGAGAGACTCTATATTATGAACAAAAAGGCCTTATTTTCCTAACAATATCCCCCCTTTTTATTTTTAACCCCCTTTTTGTTCATTAAAGCGCTCTAATTTCCTTTTGCTCAATTCTAAATACTCTTCAGTCTCTACTTCGCTAAGTGGCTCATACTTTGGCCTTACTATCATTAAATGTGCAGCTTCTAACCTATTTTTCACTAGTGTAATAAGCTTGCTAAGAATACATGGCCCAAAAGTAAGTATTAGAATTAGTAAAATTACTGGTCCTGCAAGGGTGGATAATAGAGTGGTTAGCCAGGGAGAATAGGTGAACCAGGATTCATACCAACTCTGCTGGGATTCTCTCTCTCTTTTTCATTGTTCTATTTGTTTGCGTAACTCAGCCATCGTGTCTTTTACAATACCTGTGTGATCTACATAAGCACAACATTCTTCTTGCAAAGCAACACACAGTCCCCCTTGCTGTAAGAATAACAAATCTAATCCCCTTCGGTTTTGGAGGACTACCTCAGAAAGGGATTTTATTGATTTAACTAGTTCACTTATGTCTTTATCTATTCTACTCAGATCTTCATCTACAGATGTGCGCAGAGCTTTCATACCTTGGGTTTGACTTACTAGGGAGGCGACCCCTGTTCCTACTCCTGCTCCTCCTATGCTGAGCAAGATTGCTACTGTTAGTGCTGTAAGTGGTTCCCTTTTAACCAGGTAGTGTTCAGGGGTCCTCTGATGTTCTAACACATATTCTTTTGGGTGGTATACGATTCTGGGGATTATTAGAACTTGAATGCAGAAGTCTGAATTATCAAAGGCTCTTACCGATAGGCAGGGTGTGACTCCAAGTTGTTGACATACCCACTTAGTATTGACTGCTGGCATAAGCCAATCAGAAGGCTTGTCTGTTCTGCTAATGTTCATTGTTGTGTTGCAGAGGTGTCGCATATCTGCTGGAACTTTCCCTACACATCTTCCTTGTCCACTAACCTGGGACAGGGTAATGCCTGAAACATTATCTCCTTCTTTTTTCCAGAGACACTCTTTTGGATTTGTACCATTTATTTCCCTTGCCTCAGATGTAATCCCAATAGCTTCATAAAAGTGTGGATTTATCATATAGCAAAGCCAACATCCTTTAGTTAGGTTAGGATGGGTATGATTCAAAACTCCAAAAGTAGCTTGCATAATTTTCCATAAGGTTGTATACTTCTGCACTAATAGCTGAGGTTCTTGATTACCTTTGTTTGATTTTATAACATTATCTCTGGTTTTATTACTCTCTTTTAAGTCATTGCTTATTACTGGATTTGGGCCTATAGGACTAGGGTCATGTGGCGCTACCTCCTTTTTTATTTGAATCAGATTCCCTGGATCATGTCCTTCTATCCAATGCCTAACCCCCCATGTTTTGCCTATTAACCATCCAGAATCGCTTGGTTGAGTGACATTTAGGTAAAGAAAGATGCAGTTCCCAAGTAAGTTTTTCCCAGTCCAAGGCCACTCTCGTGGTCGTTTACACCCTGCTGGTCCATGTCCTACTTTTAAATATTTGTCTAATCCTCCACCCGGAGCCCACGCTGATGCTATTGTTTCACAGCCCCAATAGGCGCAGTAATAATGTTCGGGGTAATTACAGTATTGCTTCCCTGGGTT